TTATACTGTAGCTTGTTTGACTCGGTTGATTCCCTGTGTTGAATGAGAAAACAAAAGGGGAGGGGAGGTATAATTGCTATATAACTGCTGCTGGTGGACTAATATTTGCCCAAGTGGTGAAAAGGGGCATTAGTCACATTGATTAAGAGTCATTATTGGACTCTCTGCCGCTGAGTGGATTTGACAGGCAGCACATAGCGAATGAATGGTGACATACACCCAAAAGCATAGTAAGTGCTCTGTACAAATTAAAGTAAAATCCTGTTACAGTAGACTCTGAGGTTCTTATTTTAGCTGCATTCGATGTATTTCTAGCCCTAGAAATTATATTTCACAATTCCTCTCTGGTGCTTATAAAGCACCAAAAGGAAGTCAAGCCATTCATGAAGAGTTTGACTAATGAAAACTAACATTATGAACAAATAAAGAAACTAAAATTAAACTCCAAGTAAATATCTATCTAAACTATTTGTACACGTAATCCAGGAATAAAAGTTAGTCATGTTACAAATAAAAAAAACAATTAAAATGCTTCAATTTAAACTGTTTTCAGAGCTAGATTGACCCCATTTTGGTGACTGGTGTGCAAATATTTCTGAATCATAGACTTGATTTGTGGTTCTGGAGACTAATCAGCTAATAACTGCTTAAGTTCTTTGACATATTCAGAGGAAAAAATAAGGCGCAGAACCGTGGATCTGTCTCAAAGGCATTTCTCAAGGTATTTTGCTGCTGTAAACTTCTTTTGACGTTGAATTGTTGAACATTGTTGTAAATGAAAAGTCACAGCGGAGGTTTGAAACCAGCACCAGCAAAAATCTCCCCCAGAAGTTTTCAAATTCAAGGGATAAAGACTCTTCAGTTTCAGTCTTTCAAAGCGGATAACACCAGAATTTAAAAATCAAAGTTCTTATTTTTTAACCCACAAAAAGCAGCTCACTGTGACCACTTGACTATAATGAACTCTATGGTGCGTTCTGAGTTCCTCTATATTGAAGGAGCCTCCAGGGTTTTAATTCCAAATGTGTAATCAAAAGACTGTTTCCTTTTGCTTTTTTAACAGAGAGGAAGTTTCCCAAAAAATGTGGTCATCAAAACTACATGTACGTGTGCTGACAGACGAAAACGGCCTGTGTTTATCAGGAGGGGTTCGTACTGTTGCTGCTTTATGGCCAAAATATGCTAGTTAAATGTATGCTAGCAAAATATGCTAACTTACATATTCTGCATTTATTCGGTTGTGTGCTTCCTCAAATAAAAAAATTAAAAAATCAAATCACGCTGCTTTTTGTGAGTTAAAAAAATAAGAACTTTGATTTTTTAATTCTGGTGTTATCGGGTTGGGGGGGGTAAATGCTAACAAGTGTTAGCTAACAAGTGTTAGCATTTACGATGAAGATAGAGAATGTCGCTTTGGTAAAGACAAGATGAAACATCAAGTAACTGTTCATCTTAATGGCAGCCTGATGGAAATGGGCTTGGTGATTATGGTCTTTGGGTTGTGTTGTCTATTTGCTTAATCTGTCGCAAATAAGGGAACGTATACTGTCCCTTCCTTTTAGCACACATCAAAATGCAATTGAAGTGTCCAGCCTGAGTGCAGAGATCTCAAGGTAAACAGGAATTCAGCTTCTTATATTATTATATTTATATTATATTATTTATATCATTATTCGCATGCGTAAATTTGAACACCTTATACTTAACATAAGCATGTTTTTTTCTTTAAATTTCTTTATAGATACCCTCAAAAACATACACCTGCAGATCAAGAGCCAGTTCATTGAGGCACCTTTAACCCTATAATGCCAAATGTGTTATATTTGATACGGTTTCTGAAGTCTTTTGGATCTGAGACTTTTTGCATCATTCAGTGGTAAAAGCTTTGCTCAAACCCCTGTTGAACACATTCAGATATACCTGATAACAGCCAGTAGAAGACTACACGGAAATGTATTTTTTACTTATTGCACGCTAATTTCATCAAAATAATTTCTTTTTTTTTTCTTCATATGTTGTTGAGGGGCCAAAGAAAGACTTCAGACTAAAAAAAATCCAATATTCTTCCTATTTTTTTCTTGGATCAGGCTTTAAAGGGTTAAATAGTAAAGCACAATGTGACCAGCGACATAGATGGTTTAGTTTTGTTTTTAAGTTCTAAGCACCTGTGTTGTTTTCTCAATGTAGTATTGCATTTATTTGCACTGTGGAGCTGCTGGATGTTGTAAAAATATATATTCAAAAATAAAAAATAATGGTTATTTTTCCTCACCAGATGGTTATCCATTTTTACCAATTCATATGATGACATTTTCTGGAATTTTCTTTGGGATTCCGTCTTTCACTGTTAGAATGTACATATGATTAAAGTTATAGATCGTTGCATTCTTTGTAAGTGGGCAAACCTGCAAAATCAGCAAGGGGTCAAATACTTATTTCCCTATATATCCAATATTCTTCCTATTTTTCTTGGATCGGGCTTTAAAGGGTTAATCTTGGAGTCCTCTCTGTATTTTCATATTGATTCGCTCTCAGACTAGCAGGTGTTTCTGTTTACATCCGATTGCGTACACAGCACCCC